TCACTGGGATGCTCAGATGTCAGATGGATTCACGTCAGGAATATTACAACCACATTAATAATCTTTTTTACTTAGATTTGTGCCTGTCTCGATATTCAGCACAGTCATGGACCCAGATTTCATTAAATATAATGAAACTGAGCTGAACTGAACTGGAACCAAAGTGAAATGATGCATGATGATGCACAGCCTTCTCTCTGCCTGATCTCTAAAGACTCCTCTTCTCTTCCCTGCAGGTGGACCCCATGTTCACGGTGCCAGGTCCCCCTGCTTCAGGCCACTCCGGGCCCCCCGGCCCCTCCTTGCCTTTGGCCCCTTCCTTCTCCCCTCCAGCCCTGCCCACCTCGAACCCTAAGCAGCTGGCTGTGAGGATGAGGTCTATCGGCACCAACACCCAGGATGGGGGCATCTCAGGGGCGCTGGAGGGTGACTCTGCCTGTTTGGGGCCCTGTCAGCCTGGGACCAGCGTCAACCTGGAGGGCATCATCTGGCACGAGACGGAGGAAGGTGAGGAGCGTTTCAGAAGGTCGCCACGTGGCTTTTGTGTGACTTGACTCTTTAGTAGTACATACCTTTAAATTTTAGGGCGCAGATGATTCAAAGGACATTTCCAGTGTTTTTGCATGTCTCAAGTAAATTTTTCATGGCTGCCAAAACATAGAAAATATAAAACTACATTTCCATGAAACATGGTGAAGAATAAAAATGGCTGTATTAAGTATCACAGTGAGGAAGCTATAAATGCTCAACCTAGCAGAAATTATTTTGCATAACTCTCTGCAAAACCTGTGATGACTTATGAATCCAGTGCGGTTCCGGATCCCGGCCCAGATCCTCCCCACACCTTTCAGCACTGACCACTTTCACCATGATGCTTTAGACTTTCTGGGCAAGAGGATCGGATCATTTTCTTTGCCACGTGCAGCGGTAAACAGAATATATTTAAATTGTGGACTGTTGGTCAAGCAGTTGCTTTGACTTCTGAGAACCTGTGCTGGACTTTTTTCAGTTCTTTTTTTCTTTGGCAGTTTCAGCGCCTGTGTGATCTTTAACCAAAACAAGCAGCCATGAAGGCAACTGTGATGATCCCATTCTTTTGGATCATTTCAAGGTTGTAGAGATTTGTTAATTAAACCAGAACGATCCCATATTATTGTACATAGTTTTTTCAGCTTTAGTCTAATCACCTTCTATGTGTTAGTTTTATTATTTGTTATTTAAGCAAAGCAGTGTAATTTAATGTAATGTCAGTGAGTGAAAAGAAGAAAAACAGATAGTCTAAAAAAATCATGGTGCGCACGCACTAACCTGAAGCTCCGCAGCCTGAGGCACAGTGTTCGTGGTGTCTTGTGTGTGTTGAAATACGCACCGATGTGAACAAAAAGAAAGTGGCTGAATCTCAGAGATGATGGCATGTGGGCGGGTTTCAGTGTTTACCGACCTGCAGACTATTATGGTGGAGAAGTGGAAAGTCTCATGTGTCAAACCAGGGTAAATAAAATACTTTTGTCACGCTCCGGTGAGGCTGAGATGGCTGAACCTCGTCGCTGAGCTCAACTTTGACAAAACACTTTTCTTGCCTTGATGTGTAGAAGAGCCCAGACGTGCCCATCACTGCGCTCTCGGGTTTTTTTTTTATTTCTACTGTTTTCACTTTTGATGAGCAGAGGTTGTACTGCCTGTTTAGGCTCTGACTCAAACAGGCAAACTGATCACAGATTAAAATATTTTTACTTAACACAGACTTGGTGAAAGCTCCATTTTGGTCTTTTTTTTTTAATCTTCAAGAGAAAAAAGTTTCCAAAAAACTTTCCAGCAAATGGTTTTGACTCATGGCTGCAGCTCTAGGTCACTGAATGGCTTCATGAGGATGAAACAGTGGGTTGGACACAGTGAGGGGATCTGGTTTGGAAGGAGGAGGTTCCCTCCTCAGGCTGCTCTGGAGACTCGGCCCTGATGAGGCTCTGCTGGGCGCTGGGTGGGGGTTTGGCCTTTAGTTTGTCACCTAGCTGTGAGACAGCTTTCCAGAAAAGAGTAACTCTATCTCATCTGCACATCCTATATTCTGAACTACAGGTGATGAGCCAAGCAGATGCAGCAATCCTGCCTCCCACTGGAGCAGAGACACCCCCGAGTCTGGATGGTTAGTTTTGGGAGAATACTTTGCACAGTCCCTTTTATTTCAAATAACTGGTGATGGTTTGTACGTGCTGTTGGGGAAGGCTTGGATTTAATACTGATGGAGAGTGTTGTGCTGTTTGTCCGCTGTTTTTAGGTTTTTACCATGAGTACAAAGAGTTTTAAAGGCCCGTCACGCCCAAACATTTTCACAGTGGTTCTGATTCTGATCAAGACACAACAAACAATCAAACACTAGGCAGGTTGATGTGGCCGGTGAGGAGAGGGGAGGAGGTGGGGGAGAGGGGAGGAGAAGGGAGGAGAGGAAAGCATCATGGGATGACCCAAACTGAGACTGGGAGCTGGTTTCACAGGAGAGGAGCTTTAAAGGGTCTGTCTCCCATTCTACTGTAGAAGTATTACTGTAGTACTTCTATAATACAAGTTTATCCCTTTAGTCAGGAAGAAGCAACACAAGATTGATCCCTGTTCTAGGGTGCAACAGACAGAATACACCAACACAGTGAAGGTAAAGTATAGACACTCGGGGTGATGATACTGGGAGGCGCCTTAACTTGGCACCACTTGACAGTGCGCTGTGATGCTGACAGTGTTTGTTGGCCTTTAGGGAGGAGGCAGGTCTGAGTGGCTATGTCAGCAACATGGCACTCAGGATGACTGTTTGCATCCCACCAGCCGCTGTTGGCTTCTTTTAACCATCTTTTGCTGGCAGTAGCCAAGTGTTGTCTGAGGCACAAGCCAGTTTTGTTGTCCTTCCACTGGGGGAGTCTGATCAGAAGGAGCCTCTGTGACATAGTTTGTGCTACACAGAAGGTTTTGCATTGTCCTGTGTCTCCTCCATTCAGCCAGCACAGCCAGAGCGTCAGCTGTCAACAGTCCCTCTGTGTAAAGAAAGATCTGGATGTTTCAACGCAGCTTGTCCTTTTAACAGAATTGGCCACATTCACTGCAACTATGTGGGTTTAAAAACATATGTTAGAAGAAAAACTAGATGATGCTGCTTGTTTTTTTTATCATTCCAGACCTTTTGGGCCAGTGTAGCTTATTTTCAAACATGACTAGATATACTCATAAGAGCAGTTTTGGCACTGAGCTGCTCGTGATTCCAAGTCCCAGACAAGACGAAGAGTCGAACAAGAAACTACAAAATGATACCATGGGAGTATCAGATGGGTTGTTGGTTCACCCACTGAGTTTGACGCCACCGCACTTTGATAGGTTGTTAACGAGGACAGCACTCAGCACTGCAGCCTCTCAGAGGAGGTGTAATACCTTACTGCAGGCTGCTAATGAATAAGTCCCATCTCAGTGCGCCCATCTCGCTCTGCCAGCCGTCGGGCCTCTGAAGTAGAGCGTCGAGTTTGGCAGAGAGGCATTTGTATCCCGGCTCGCTATTAATTAACTGGAGCCGCTCACTCCGCCTGGTAAAACAGGAAAGAGGAAGGAAATACAAACCTCACACAAGGGAATAAATCCCAGGCCACGAGTGCTCCTAAACGAGCACAGAGATGGAGGGAGAAGTGAAGGAGAGACAGTAAATAGTACATGTCCTGCTTCAGACTCGGAGCGAGAGAGAGTTCAGATGGAGTGAGAGAAACCAGATGGTGGATAAAACTTCTCCAAACAGGCCACAAAGAGAGAGAGGGAGTCAGGACAGAGTGAGACTGAATTGAGATGTCTCCTTGCAGACCCTGGCAGTCTGGGATGTGTAAAAATAGGAATGTAGATTATATTGTGCATTAACATTAAAATAAGCTTCACTATTCAAAGTCATCAAAATGAGAAATGTATGAACCTCCTCCGGTTCCATCTGTGCATGGAGAAATGAATAGTCCTTCAAACCATTTATGAAGGAAACATGCCAAATTTTTACTCATTCTGTTTTCACAAACGTGAGGATGTTTCACTGAAAACTGGTTTTGGATTGTTTGGTTGTTGGTCAGCAGAGAGAAGCAGTATGAAGATGTCTCACTGTGATGGCCGTTAGAGATTAAACAATGAACTGATTAATAATAAAAACAATACTCAAAATAGAGACTGATCAAATATGAAATGAATCACTACTTTCACCGGTAACAAAATGTTTAGAAACTAAATGCAGTGATGCACACTGATGAGATTCATGTGGCATTTATATTTGAATATTTGTTTGGTCAGGTTTGTTCGTGATCACCAAAATCCAGTTTCCAGCTTCGTTTAAAATTTTTTATGGTCTTATCCTTCATCAGCAGTCAGCTGTGTTTGTAGGTCACCGTTTTCTTATCACGTGTTCATGATGGGATTATTGTTACTGGACTCACTGCCTCTTCATTAAAAGAGCCTCTGCTACACCAGTTTATCTACGTGGTACATTCAAATATTCTCAGCAGTTACCGGGAGAATTTCATCTTCCTCCATGTTTCCCTAACAACAAACCAGCTGGCATTGGAGTTCAGTTTAATATTTGAGTTTGGTTAAAAATGGGAAAGTTCATGGGAAGATGGTAAAAATATTAATAATGTCCTGTCTCACAGTGTTAAAATATAATTCCTGGATTCACACCAAAGGCTGCTGACTTATTTTTTGGCCCATGGCTGAGCTTTACACCAAATGTCATTCAAATCTCTGAGCAGATTTCTTAGCGATCCTGCAAACAGACAAACAAACAGCACTGATATCATCTCGCACTCCCTCGGTAAGCAAAGCACATCAGAACACTGTATTTCCATGTGTGAGTAGACGGCATCAGTCAAGTGATGGGGAGTAACACGATGCGTCGGTAATATGAGTTACACACATAATCTGCCAGTAGCGAGAAAACACAGAGACACACTGTAATATACTACTGAACATGAACACTATGTATTCTAGGAAGTGCCTGAAGTATACGGAGAAAGAAGCACAGAGGAGCAGCAGAGGAGGCATAAAAGACAGAAATATGGAGGCAAAGCATGAGACAATGCATTCAGAGCTCAGGCTGTCTCCCAGCAGGCCGCCGGCGAGAGAGGGAGCGGAGAGATGGACAGAATGGTAACAAAGGTTTTGTCTGTATCTTTAAACCACCAGAGGACTGTAGAGAATGTGAAGACGGAGGCGGAAAGAAGACATACAAACACAGAGATGAAGAAGGACCATTTCATCAGGCAGAGAATGACGGACAGTGTCAGAGGAGAAGGTTGGACTGCCTCGTGCTGAGGAGCCCTCCTTGCTGCTCGGGCTCTGTCACCAGAGCCCCCACCCCACGGTGGCGGAGGGATTTGACGGGGAGATGCAGGATGCATGTTAATTAAGATGAATACTAATTGGAAAGACAGAAGACGAGACAATGTTTTGGCTTCAGACTCCTCTCCGTCCTCCTGTCCCTGCAGGAGACCAGAGTCTAATCAGATGGTGATTGGCTTGACTCTGAGCTCAGCTGCTCAGAAGGTCTGACGGTCAGTCTGTCTGAGTGTGCGTCCGTCTGTCCGGGTGCCACAGATTATACATAAGAACTGGACATAATTACAGTTTGAAGCTTATTTGCATCCTGTAAATACTTGTAAAATAATCACCTCTAATAATAACCACTGTGAAGTAGCTGATTTATTTGCCCTTAAACAAACAGTTTGTCGTTTTGGGAGATACACTCATTCGCTTTCTCAGGTAGAAATAGATAGGAAGTCCTGCATTGGAAATGCTGGAACATTTTGTATCCAAGAGCAAGAAGTCATGTGTTGCAAACCTCAATTTATAGCTGCGGTGCATCCAACATGTGTTTGTTCAGTCTCTGGCATATCACAAAACAGAGGTTAATGGTTTTCAAATGTCAGTCTGAGAGTGTGAGGAAGTGAAAGAAAAAGAAGAAGAGAGCTATTTATTTCTTATGGCTGAAGGCTCCTCGATCCCCTGATTAGAGTTTAACTAAACTCTCGTTCCAACTAAAAACCTGGCGGGGGTGGAGGTTTTCACCCTCGAATGCTCCTGAACAACATGAGTCAGAGTAACTTTACACAGGCTGTAAGATACCATCCTAATAACCACAAGTGGAGCCTCTTAGAGCTGTGAACTCCTCCTTCAGGTTGCCACAGCCTTTTGTTTCCTAGCCATTGCTCTTCTCAGATGTCTGATGTTTCTTTCTTCTGGGGTGCAGTGTGCTCCTTTTATTTGTTATTCTACCTGCACAACTGTTTTATTGCTTTCCTCATTAGATAAAAGTGAAAACAAAGGAATGAGATTTTTTTGCGGAGCTACAAAGGCAAAAGAAGCACTGTGTATAATAACTTGTCTCCAATCACAGTCACATCTTTGAACATATCTCACTCTTTGACTCAAAGTTCAGCATAACAATGTATCTTGCATCCTCTAAAAATGATTCAGTTCTTCTCTACTGTTAAAATACTGACAAACTGATTTCATGCAACATCTGTTCCAGTTGGAAACAAATTGTCTGCAGTTCCTATTTGAGTCCTGAACCCTCCTCTTTACCCTGGCACTGATACTGAAGGCTGTTATGGTCCCAGTAGATCCAGTACTAACCGTTCTGTCCCTGTCCTGTGTGATTGACAGGTGTGCTGGTGGTGAATGTGACGTGGAGGAAGCGGACGTACGTGGGAACTCTGTTAGACTGCACCAAACATGACTGGGCTCCCCCCAGGTAACACTTTCCTTTTCTTTTCTTTGTAAAGCCGAGCACACAAACCCACAAAATATCCACTATTTAGGGCATTTGGCCATGCAAGAAACACAGAGCATGTCCATCCATTGGCACATGCAGACCAGTAACAACATGGCTGGATCAGTTGTCGAGTCCCCCACACGGTCCCTGCTGACCAGAGTAACTTAAAAATAAACTTTGTTGATACAGTAAATGGTGTGTCTCTTTATCACACTATTACTTGACTCTAGTCTCACGCTACAGTCTATTGTGTTAATTGCTTGCAACAGCAGTACAGAGAAAAGTAGTGATTCTGTTCAGTAGATCAAAAGAAAGAAAGAAATCAGTGAAAATAGGTGACATTGCTTTGTTCTCCATGGCCCTGAAATGCAAGGCAAGGTGCAGTCACTCTGATCTGGCTCTGAAAAGTTAGTATTTAGGATCATCTCTGTACAAATGCCAGGACAACCCAACACACAGAGTCTCAGTGAGGTGCTGGGCCTCCACGTGCCACCAGAACAGCTCCACCTTGGTTCTGACTCTCCAGGTCTCTGAGTCTCCTCGAGGGATGAACACCGTTTCCAGCAGATGTTCCCTCATGTGGTGTTTTGATGATGGTGGTAGAGACACTGTCTACCACGTCGCTCCAACATCTCCCATAGCTGTTCGTCTGGGCTGAGACCTGGTGACTGGGAAGGCCACAGCATCTGGTTCAGATCATGGTCATCCTCATCAGACCAGTCAGTGACTCCTGGTGTCCTGTGGATCCTGGAGGAGACCACTCACATTGACCCTTTAATTTATCACCCATACACCAACAGTTTCATTCCACCATAAACATCTGACACCTGGTGAGCGCCTTCCACTTAGACCAGTGAAATCAGACCTAAAATTATATTTAACATCAGTTCTTATTTGAATTGTAAACCCATTTTAAGAACAGACCTCTAGTTATTTTGACTCACTTCTGCTTGGTTTATTTCACCGGTTGATCCGTTATGATTAAACATTTTATTGTTATTGGCTTTTACTGGCTGATGTTTATTTCATTAACTGAAAAGAGCATTTATTTCTTTGTAGTGCTTTAATGTAGCTACAATATTAAAAAGGCTAAACTGGCTCTGGGGCTGTTGTTCCATGATGAGCTTTAACAGACCCACTCTCCATCCCAACTGTTTCAAAAAGGGAGAGTGGTTTTTGTAATTACTGAGCAGAAAAGGCGACAGTCCTTCCTCATGGGGCCGAAACCTCTCACTTATTGTTCCTTTATGTAAGTGATTGTTGTCATGGCAATTGCAGCTTAATCTGAGAAAGCAGGGACTTTTCGTTTGGACGCTGTCACTGTGGACATCTGTCAGTGCTCACTGATTGCACTGTTACTACTGTATATAACTCAGTGGAGTTTGATCATTCATTATATGTCTATAACCAGAACATACAGTAATCAGATTAAAAGCACAGTATATATAGCAAAACACATACAGAGAGCTTCTGAACTAGAGAAAGTCGAATTGTAGGAAGTGACCAGGGTGATATCACCCAGCTGATCAGGAACTGTTTTTAAGTGGAGGCATGAGAGCAAGAAATATCCATGAAATGCCAAATAAAATAAATAAAATTTCAGCCGCGTGTTCCCAGCAGCTTTGGTGACATTCAGGAACACATTGATGTAAAAAAGCAATTACAAACATCATAGGAATGTCAGATATCATCGTTTCAAAATCACAGAGGGGAGCAAGAAAGTTTAGTCCCAACATGCTCTGCAGTCTGATCCATTAATAAGGTGATTAACACCCTAAACAATCTTTCCAAGGTCAGAATGTAGTCACAGAGTATTTAATACCAACCAGTCCTGTGATGTAGTGTCATAATTAATGCATTAAAAGGCCAGTGCAGATGCAAGGTTCAGGGAGCCGCTTAGGAAATAGAGCTATTCATTCTCCTCATCACAGCAGACAGGTTTCTGATAACAAGTGTGGTAAAGCAACCCCAGTGTTAGGAAGTAGCACAGTGTGGTCAGCACGACGGCATGTGAATACAAAATGTCCCCATATCAGCGACAGAGATAACTGTGGATTGTACAGGTTTTTTATGTTATCTAAGCAGAAGCAGGCTTTGTACAGAAGAAAATCGATTTTTATCCTTCACGTCTGGGTAAAGTGCTGCACATGAGCCCTGAGTGATATCCTGTTATCTTCCAAGGTTTTTGTCTGATGATACAAGAGTTCAATTTGGGTGACGATACAAACAAGTCGCTCTTGGTTAAAACCCTTCAAGAAGAACATCAACAAGAAAAACAGCCTTATTTTCAGCTTCATGGTCTGATGTGTTTCTCACTTTATCCGACACAACATGACACAATACACACATTATTACAGTACGTGAAGCAACATATGCCGACGCACAATATGAAATACAGTACAATGTAACATCACATCAAGTGTATCATGTGATATGATACAATTTGATGTGAAGTGAGACAAAGCAAAATTATACGGTTTGATGCCATGTGATACGATACGATCAGTGTGGTATGACCCGATGCTACATGCTAAAGAGACAATGCTATAAAAATGATATGAGAAGACGCCATGTGGTACAACATGATTTGACACAACTTGATAAAACACAATGTCGTTGTAAAAAAGACAATTTGATATGATGTACGTAATATAGGGGTGTGTATCTCTCCTCACGATTCGATACATATCTCGATACAGAATGCAAAATTTTTAATGAATGATTTATGACTCTGCATTAAATCTACACAGAGCCTACGCTGCTGTGAGCATTTATACTTGTGCCTGGTGTGTCAGTGTCATCCTGCAATTACACCACCAAAATGCTAGTTAGCCGTAGGGTTTCTATGCCACGCCGTTTCTTTGCCACTTATTAACAATGGCGACTGCTAGCACTAGCACTCTTTGCTCCTGCAGCTTTCTGGACTGTGCGTGGTGCGAGCCTGTTTTTGTTGAACGCCGGCAGGAGATGGTGCATACGCACACCAGAGCAGAGCACAGCGAGAAGTTACAGAAAACTTCAGTGTATGAGGTCCATTTTGATTTTAGACTGTTTTTAAACCCATTTGGCACGAATTTGTGGTTTTCGACTGATGCAGCTGTAAATCTGACTCTTGTATTGATTTTTTTGATTCATATTGCTTTATCTTTACATCCCTAATGTAATAGGATATGGTTGGATATGATACAGTGTCAAAAACAATGCAACAGAAACAGTAAGATGTCATATGATATACTGTGGTTCTATACAGTTTAAGACAGAACACAGCACAGTACGATCTAGCTCATCTGCTTCCCAAGCTGTCAGTACCAGTGATTATTAAGTTTGTTGTTTTTCTCTTCCTCTGTCCAGGTTTTGTGAGTCGCCCTCTAGTGATCCTGACTTGCCAGGTGGGCGTGGTCGGGGGAAACGGATGCGAGTGGCCATGGCCGAGCGGCCCTATGTTGAGCCGGCCCCTGCTACCAAGGTCAGGGGTCTATCACAGCACAGGAGCCGTGGAGGTGGTGTTGCTGGAAGTGCTGCGCCTATCCACAGCAAGGGGCGGAGAGGTAGCCTGAACCTCATCAACAGCAACTGCCGAACACCACCTTCTTTCTTCACTGTGGACGAGGTGAAATCTTCCAGTTCTACTCTCTCCTCTGGGAAGCGAAAGAACAAGCCTCCGGCTGACCTGGATCTCACCCTGGTCTCCTCCGATGACATTAAAAATGGCAACGGGAAGAGGATTCGAGCCAAATCCCGCAGTGCCCCATCCACACCGCAGGGCAAATCTGACCCCTCATTCATGGATCCTGGAGGAGGTTGTGCCTCGTCACCACCTCCCCCACCCATTCTCATTGATTGCCCCCACCCCAACTGCACTAAACGCTACAAGCATATCAACGGCCTGCGCTACCACCAGACACATGCACACCTGGAGGCTGAAGAGCAGAGGAAGCCTGAGATAGAGGCCATGAAGGATGGGGAGAGTGAGGAACGACTATCAGACTGTGAGGACACAATCGGCAACATGACCTATGACCTCTCAGAGACAAACAACAGCACTAATGCCAATAGCTCCTCTAAGAAACCTGCTCCTTTATACAAGGTCACCACAGTAGGATCTCCCAAGAACAGACGGCTTCTCCTCAGTACCGACCACAGCCCCACAGCCAACTCAAAAACCAGAAGGACCTCACTACTTAAAGATGGGCTGATCGATGACCTCAGCAACCTGCCCATCATCTCCAACATGACTGTGGTTCTGGAGAACTGCATGGTCCCAGACAGGAACTCCACAGTAGAGATGCCCAAACTTGAAGCTGAAGGTTTGATTGACAAGAAGGGAGGTGGTTGTGACAAGGGCAAGAAGGCCAATGGGAAGGTAGATAAGCTATCCAAGTCACGGACCAATCGTCCAATCGCTCCGGCCCCTGCTCCTCCCAAGCTGATCGCTATACCCAACACTACATATCCGACTGGCACAGCAGATCCTGCCACCTCACAGCAGCCCTCTCCCATGGCAGCTGTAGGCCTGACTAGTAAAAACCTTCCCCTGAAGCCCATCAAACCAAAGCTGAGCATTGTTGTGGAGCCGAACCTGGTCAAAGCCACCCTGGTTACCTGCAGCAAGGAGACCAGGAAGAAAGAGAAGCGAAGGCTGAAGGACAAACACAGCAAAGATGCGCCAATCAGGACACCTAATGGCGACAGCATTGGAATCAAAATGGAAGATGGTGGTGGATCTAAAATGGGTGTTAAGGAAATTTCTGGAAGCCTTCTGAAGGAGCACCTCAGTAAGCAGGATGTATTGAATGGACTTACGGAGAGCCAGGAGAGTAGGATGGCAAGTATTCGTGCAGAGGCTGACAAGGTCTACACCTTCACTGACAATGCCCCTAGTCCCTCTATTGGCAGCTCATCGCGGCTTGATGCATCTGGTAGTTGTCTGGCAACAACAGACAGCAGCAGCAAGAACAACAGCCCCGCCTACTCTGACATCTCAGATGCTGGAGATGATGGGGAATGTCGCTCAGATGGAATCCGATCCAAGTCTGGGTCCTCGGCCTGTTCTGACGTGAGCTCCAGCAGTAACCATGGAAACTCTGGTAAAACTCCACACACAGCGTCTGTCCCGTCATCAAAAGACCCCCAGTCCCCATACTACCACAGCTATGAGCCTTACTACCTGCAGGGATACATGCAGCTGGACAGGCAGAACAGCAGCAGCGTTGCTTTCCACAAAAGCTCT